GCCCATTTCCACCCAGCCCCCTTCCCTCTGTCCCTCACTCTGTTGCCTGTGTCTATGGATTATGCATATATGCTCTTTGGCTAATCTCTCATCTTCTTTCCTCCAGTCCTCCTACTCCCTTTCCCCTCTAACTTCTGTCAGTCTATTCCATGTATCCATGCCTCTGGTCTTATTTTGTTCATCAGTTTATTAGATTCCATATACAAGTGAGATCATATGGTATTTGTCTTTCTCTGACTGACTTATTTCACTTAGCATAATAATCAGCAGGTCCATCCATGCTGTCACAAAAGGTAAAAGTTCCCTTTATAAAATTATTTTTTATTTTTTAAATATTTTTATTGATTAAGAGGAGGAAGGGAAAGGGAGAGATAGAAACATCAATGATGAGAGAGAATCATTGATCAGCTGCCTTCTGCACACCCCACACTGGGGATCAAGCCCCTAACTCAGGGCTTGGCCGGAATCGAACCCAGGACCCTTCAGTCCACAGGCTGATGCTCTATCCACTGAGCCAAACCAGCTAGGGCAAAAGTTTTTATGGCTGTGTAGTATTCCATGTGTAAATGTACCACAGCTTTTTCTATCCACTCCACTGATGGGCACATGTGCTGCTTCCAGATCATGGCTGTTGTAAATAACACTGCTATGAACACAAGGTGGTATTCTTGTGCACCCTTTCTGATTAGGGTTTCAGATTCTTAGAATACATTCCCAGAAGTGGGATCACTGGTCAAAAGGCCGTTTCATTTTTAATTATTTGAGAAGCTCCATATTGTTTTCCACTGTGGCTGCACCAGTCTACATGCCCACCAACAGTACATGAATATTCCCTTTTCTCCACATCCTCACCAGCACTTGTTTGTTGATTTATTGATGATAGCCATTCTGGCAGGCATGAGGTGATATCTCACTATGGTTTTAATTTGCATCTCTTTTATGATTTGTGACATTGAGCATTTTTTGTTTTTTTCATATGTTTATTAGCCATCTGTACGTCCACTTTGGAGAATTATCTACTAAGGTCCTTTGCCCATTCTTTAATGGGATTGTCTTCCTGGTGTTGAGCTGTATGAGTTCTTTGTATACTAGTATTTTGGAAATTTACCCCTTATCAGATGTATTGTTGGCAAATATTTTCTCCCATCCAGTGGGTTCCCTTTTCATTTTGTTGATGGTTTCTTTTGCTGTTCCGCTTTTTAGTTTGATGTAGTCCCATTTGTTTATTTTTTCCTTTGTTTCTCTTGCTCTAGGAGATATATAAGCAAAAATATTGCTACAAGGGATATCTGGACTTTACTGCCTATGTTTCCTTCTAGGATTTTTATGGTTTTGCAATTACATTTAAGTCTTTAATCCATTTTGAGTTTATTCTTGTGTATAATGTAAGTTGGTGGTCTAGTTTCATTTTTTTGCATGTATCTGTCCAATTTTTCCAACACCATTTATTGAAGAAACTGTCTTTATTCTATTGCATGCTCTTGCCTCCTTTGTCAAATATTAATTGACTATAAAGATGTGGGTTGATTTTTGGGCTCTCTGTTCTGTCCCATTGATATATATGCCTATTCTTATACTAGTACTAGAGGCCTGATGCACGAAATTCATGCAAGAGTAGGCCTTCCTTCCCCTGGCTGCCAGCACCGGCTTCCCTCTGGCACCCAGGATCCAGGCTTTCCTCCAGCTGCTGGCAGGCACCCGGGGACCCGGGCTTCCCTCACAGCCCCAGTTTTGTCTGGAAGGTCGTCTGGTCTAATTAGCATATTACACTTTTATTATTATAGATGCCAGTACCAGGCTGTTTTGATTTCGATGGCCTTGTAATATAGTTTGATATCAGGTACTGTGACACCTCCAACTTTGTTCTTCTTTCTCAGGATTGCTGAAGCTACTAGGATCTTTCTTGGTTGCATATAAATTTTTGGAATATTTGTTCTAGGTCTGTGAGATATGCTAGTGAGATTTTAATAGGAATTGTGTTGAATCTTTGCTTTGGGTAGCATGGACATTTTAATGATGTTAATTCTTCCAATTCATGAACATGGTATATGCTTCTGCTTATTTGTCTCTTCCTCTATTTCCTTTTTAAATGTCCTATAGTTTTTCTGAATATAGGTCTTTTACCTCCTTGGTTAAATTTATTATTTTTTGTTGTTGCAAGCATTTGGTTTTAATGTCTAGGTTAAATCTACACGAGTTCCTCTCCATTTTTCATGACATGAAAATAAAAACTATTAACTTTTTTCATAAAAATCATTGACTTTTTGAAGAGACCAGGGCAGCTGTCTTATAAAAATGTCTTTTGGGATTTGTCATATTATTCTACATTGTGTCATTTAACTTGTCCCAATTTGCTTGAAAACTGGAAGCTGGGCCCGAGGAAGCTTGCTTAGGTTTAGGTTAAGCATTTTTGGCAAGAACACTTTATGCGGACTTTTATGTACTTCACATTGCATCAATTCAGGAGGCACAGAGTGTCAGAGAGAGAACGAGGTTTATAACCTTGGTCCTGACTCTTCTTGCTTCTTTACAATCTTTTAAAAATTTATCCAATATGCCTGTATTAAATGTTAACACCATCACAAACCACTTTAATTTAAAATTGTGACTAAAACATTTTCTTAAATTTTTTTTTTAATTGATTTCAGATAGAAAGGGAGAGGGAGATAGAAACATCAATGATGAGAGAGAATCACTGATCGGCTGCCACTGGGGATCGAGTCTGAAACCTGGGCATGTGCGCCCTGACCAGGAATTGAACCATGACCTTCCAGTTCATAGGCTGATGTTCAACCACTGAGCCACACCACCTGGGCCTTCTCCTTATCTCTTGCTGATTAGTATGAATTGCTCAGGCACAGCACTTTTTTTTTTTGGTTAATCCTCACCTGAGGATATTTTCCCATTGATTTTTAGAGAGAGTGGAAGAGAGAGGGAAAGACAGAGAGAAATATCAATGTGAGAGAAACACATCGGCTAGTTGCCTCCTGCACAGCCCAGCCAGGGGCCTGGGCCGGGGAGGAGCCTGCAACTGAGATACATGCCCTTGAACAGGATTGAACCCAGGACCCTTTGGTCCACAGGCTGACGCTCTATCCACTAAGCCAAACCGGGTAGGGATTAAATGATGCAGAATCATTCCTATTCTCAAACTCATTCCTGCAAACATCTGTCATCTCACGACTTTTACAGTGGGGCCTTGACTTACGAGTGTCCCGACTAACGAGTTTTTCGAGATACGAGCTGTCTCTCGGGCGATTTTTTGCTTTGAGCTGTGAGCTAAAATTCGGGTTACGAGCCAGCTTCAGATACCCCACCGCTAGTTGGCGCAGCGAACGTCACAGTGAACGCCACAACATCAGCCCAGCATCACGTGTCATTGTAATGGTGAAAATTGATTTGACATACGAGTAATATGAGTTACGAGCTCCATCACGGAACGAATTAAACTCGTAAGTCAAGGCCCCACTGTAATTTTGTTTCTGTTGTAACAGCTCCTCTTCATTCTACGTCTTTCAACATTCTCATCTTTCAGTCTTTAACACAAAAGACATGTTAAAAGTGTTGAAAGTTAAGAAGTTGAGGAGCTTTTTTGTGTCTTGAGATTTCAGGCTAAGTGTGGAGAAACTATATAATTTATGACAACTTAGGGTGGACTTTTCCTTCTGGGGGCACTGAGCCATTTCTCAGTTTGTCTCATGAAAATGAAAATCAACAGTGTTTCTTCAGGTGGTGAGAGTGAACCTAATGCTGTTAATAAATCAGGACCTCTAGAATAGTCCTATTATAAATTCTTATAAAACCACCTTTTTCATCACGTACTTTGCTTATAAACTAATCATCTTAGAGAATTCTATTATCGGGAAGTATTGGTGCTTACTTAATCCCAAGCTATTTTCAAACTCTCATTTTATTTGTGTTCTTAGAGTGGCCACCACCCTTTCACCCAGAGATACACTTTGCTGGTGAGGATGACAGAGAAACCCCATGTATGTAATCCATGTGTGTTCAGTATCAGCCCTTAAATGTTTTGGAGGCTGAGAGATTAGAAGGCTACATAGAAATGGCAGCATGATCACCACAGCCATTACAACCTGAGCAGACTGTAACTACTGATAGGTAGCTCACCCGAATGACCTTTCTAAAATAACAAAACAAAACATTTTTATTGATTTTAGAGAGGAAAATAGAGGGAGATAGAAACATCCATGAGTAATATTTCTCATTAAGCATTGTCTATTCCATTTCTTTTTGTAAAATAGTTGATTTGGGAGGGGCTATAGTTTCTATTTCACCTGATGGATGAAACAGAATACAGTAATTCCATTCACTAAATAATTACCCATTGAGCAGTTATTAGGCTTAGGCACC